GGGGGCGATGTGCTTGCGGGGGGGGGGGGGACAGGGAAGAGAGAGGGGCGGGGAACGGAGGCGCGGCGGGGGATAGTCGCGAATTCGGAGGGGGAAGGGTCAAGGACGGCTCCTGTTCTTGTCGATCACTTTCGAACCTGTGTGAAGGCGGGATTACTGCGTTTGGTGGTGTTAGACTGCGTGAGCGGGGGGGAGGGGGGGGGGGCAGGTAGGGAGAAAACCTCCATCACGCCCGGTTGAAAGCGTGTCTGCGTGGAATGTGACGAGATGCGGGCCCAGGGGAGAGAGAGAGAGAGGATAGGAGAAGGAGCACGCACGCAAACATTTGAGTGTTGGTAGGCCCAAAGGGAGAGGCCCCGCCGGGGGCACCGGACGCCGCTGAGAACGGATTGTTGCCGCCACCGGCAGCCTGGCCACCGAAGGCACCGAAGCCCTGAGATGGTTGCTGCTGCTGCTGCTGCTGCTGCTGCTGGCCGCCGAAAGGACTGGGAGCGGAGGCCTGGCCACCAAAGCCTCGACCGCCCATCGATGAGGTGAGATAGTTATTGAAGCCCGAGGGAGCGCCGAATGCGGGAGCGCCACCGCCGCCGCCGCCGCCGAACGGCGAGGCGCCAGGCGCCGCGGCACCCGGTCCAAGACCACTAAAGGGCGAGGGCGAGCCGCCGAAAGCCGAGGCACCGGCACCCGGGGCCGGTCCGCCACCAGCGGCGGCGCTGGCAAAGGGCGATCCAGTGGCCGCAAAGGAGGAAGTGCCGGCGCCGGCGGCTGCCGAGGCGAAGGGCGACGCGCCCGGGGCACCGGCAGCAGGAGCAGCAGCCGCAGTGGCGGCGGAAGCAAATGGAGAGGCATTCGACCCAAGGCGACCATGGCCGGAGTTACCGAAGCCAGATGCCCCAAAGGTCGGGGTGCCTCCGAAGCTGGTTGACGGCGTGACAGCGGCAGTCATGCCGACGCCGGCGGCAAAGGGAGAGCTGCTCGATGTACCGGCCCCCTGGCCACCAGAAGCCGCCACAGAGAAGGGCGAAGCACTGGCACCAGGCCCGGCCGCAGCGGCACCCTGGCTGAAGGGGCCCGAGGTGCCGAAGGCAGGCGCACCCGGCGTAGCTGCAGCTTGACCGAAGGGGGAGGGCTGTGCAGTTGTGCCCGCGGCCTTGGCGAAGGGCGAGGCACCGGCCGAGGCGCCAGGAGCATTGAAGCCGGAGAAGAAGCCCATCGGTTGCTGCTGCTGTTGCTGCTGCTGCTGCTGCTGCTGTTGATTGGCAACAGGACCGGGCGTAAACGCACTGGTCTTAGCGCCAGGAGCGACAGCTCCAGCGCCGAAGGGCGACGGCGAGGCCGTTGTCGACAGAGAGCTCATGCCGCTGGAATTATCACCCAGCGCAGCCCCAAGGCCAGACATGGACATGGAGGAGGACCCGGAGGAGCCAGGGGAGTTGAATGGCGTGCTGGCACCCTGCTCTGGCCGACCCGGCTGGGCATTCCATGCTGCAAGCTATTTCCGATCGGCAGGCGTAGAATGTTAGCGGCCGGAGTGGCAGGCGGAAAAACAAGAGGAAGCAAGGGGAAATGGCAGCAGAGGAGGGAAAAAGAAAGAAGAGCCCATGAGAGTCGCACAGGATTGGTAGGAGCCGCGACTGTCTGATTGGCAGTGGCCTTCTGAGCTTCGGCCTTCTCGGCAGCAGCTTTCTCAGCAGCAGCCTTCTCGGCAGCAACCTTCTCAGCTTCGGCCTTCTCGGCAGCAATCTTCTCAGCTTCGGCCTTCTCGGCAGCAGCCTTTTCAGCGGCGGCCTTCTCAGCGGCAGCCTTCTCGGCAGCAGCCTTCTCAGCAGCAGCCTTCTCAGCGGCGGCCTTCTCAGCGGCGGCCTTCTCAGCGGCGGCCTTCTCGGCGGCGGCCTTCTCGGCGGCGGCCTTCTCGGCGGCGGCCTTCTCAGCGGCAGCCTTCTCAGCGGCGGCCTTCTCAGCAGCAGCCTTTTCAGCGGCGGCCTTCTCAGCAGCAGCCTTCTCGGCGGCGGCCTTCTCTGCGGCCAGTGCCTGGTTGACACCATTACCTGATAGGCCAGTCGCTGGCTGTAAATCTCCCAGGGTCAAGGGTCGCGACAGGGACGTCTCATTTGCCGAGTCGCCGAGTGGTGGCAGCGTATCTGAAAGGCCCTTAGACTGGGCATCCTTCAGCTGTTGCTGCTGTTGCTGCTGCTGCTGCTGCTGCTGGTAAAGGCGCTGCTGCTGCTGCTGCTGCTGCTGGTGAAGGCGCTGCTGCTCCTTCTCCTTCGCGGCGGCCTGGGAGCGAAGCATCTCCTTATTGGCCGTCGCATAGAATTCCGCCAGTTGCGGAGGCTTGCGGAATGAGATCTTCCCTTCGGCCGAAGAGTCGGCGGACGCCGAGTCAAAGAGATCGTAGAACTGGCTGTTCGTCAGGTAGCCAGTGGCGGCAATGCCAGGAGCCTGCTTGGGGGGGCGCTCGCCACTGGTGGACAGCAAAGACCCAAGAGGATGGAAGGGGGTGGTGGTGATGCGCGAATGCCCATCACGCGCGGCCCCGAGCAACAGCGCCCCAGTTCGCAGGGTCACATCCGGGGTCAGTGCAGGGGGGCTCGCGGCAGTGGCCGAAGCTTCGTCAGCAGTGACCAATCCGCCAGGCATGGTGGACACAGCCAGGCTATTGAATAGGGCCTCCCGAAGGAGACTCTCCGTGTTGTGGCCTTCCTCGGTGGTGTTCTTCTGAAGGTTCAGGCGTCCAAGGCGATCGGACACGTCATCCAGCGAGCTGGCCACCGTGTCTGCCAAGAGCGAAACCGATGCCAGGCGTTGGTCGACCGTCGTCAGCATGGCCTGGCTGCTCGCGTGTGAATGCATGACGTGGCCGTGTTTGTGTTTGCGTGTGTTGAAGGAAAAGCGCATCAAAAAAATCGGACGCGGAGAGGGATGCGTGGCGTCAGGAGGCTGTCCATGGAGCGGGCGGCAAAGAGGAAGACCAGCCGGGCTGATGGCCACACGCACCGAGCAGAGGTGATGACATCGCGGTTGGCCACCAGATGGAGAAGGCGCTGGTCCAGGGCCTCCAAGGCGGCAGTCGTGCGCTCCAACTTGGCACTGGCGTTGCTGAGCATCTCCTGCTGCATGGGGTCCACGAACGTCCGATCGAAGACCGACTCGGGGGCCTCGGGGCTGAGGAGCTTCGCCGTGGCGGCCACTGCAGCAGGCAGGAGGGCGGTGAGTGACAAGTAACCGGGGTGCGGGGGGGGGGGGGGGGGGGGGGGGCAGAAGAAAGTTGGGGAAGCGGAGGGCAGGGGCAGAGGGAAATGAGAGCCACGCACAGGCCTCCATCTGCGCGGTAAGTCGGTCAACAGTGGTGTTCAGAGCCTCAGCCGCACTGAGCAGGCCATCGCGCTCCTGGAGCAAGCCATGGCAAGAGTCATCGGCCGGCCCGAGCAGGGCTTCGGTCGCGCGCACGGACGCCTCAATGTGCTTCAAGTCCATGCTCATACCCAAGGCAAAGGGCTGCACAGCGCTTTGGGTGGCAAATGAGTGCACAAGTCCGGCATTGATGGCGCTTGGCAGTTGGAGGCTCTCGGCACCGGCCAGCAGCTGAGTCAGGCTCGCCTCGACAGGGGCAGGAGGGGAAGCCGCCACATGCGAAGGGCCCTTCCCACTGGCAAGCGGTGGCATGGTTGTCAGGGTACGAGGAGTACAACTGTAGGGGGAGAGGGAAACAGAGGGGGGGGGGGGGAACGGGGGGGGGGGGGGGCGTTGGACAAAAAAACAGCCAAGAAGGACTTGCTGGTCCCCGCTTTGTGCTGTCTCTCCCGAGCACGGAGGCTAGTTTGTGGACAAAGAAAAGGCGGCGGCCGACTGCCAACGCAATGTTGCCATGTGTGTCCCTCGAATGCGGCCTGGCCGAAAGCGCCTACCTGGCGTCGCTGCCTTGGGACCGGGCCGAAGGGGGAGCCTGCTTCTCGGGGAGCCGCCACAGGCCCCTCGGCCGTGTTGGGATTGCTGCGCGGTGGGTGAACCTTTTTCGGCTTCTCATCGAGCCATGGGCCGGGGGAGGGAGCCCTCAGGCCACGCCACAGATTCTCCACCCTCCCCCGCCCCCTGCTCCGCCTTTTCTCCCTTTCCTTTGGCCCCCCCCCCCTCGCCCCCCCCTCCGCCCTGCACGATGTCGGGCTTCCGCTTCAACTTCCAGGTCAATGAGGCTGACGAGGAAATGTCTGACACCGAGGTCTCCATGAACATGACCCACGGTGATGGTGCCACCCCCGACGTTCCTGAGGATCCGGCTGCTCAGCTTACACCCAACATCACGGTGCGCGGCGCCTGCTCCCTCGTGTCTGTGACCCCGGAACCCTGACCAGCCGACTGACCGACCGTAATCCTGGCTCCATCCCTCCCTGTTTATACCTGCCACCTCCCCCCCCCCGCCCTGTCATTCTGCCCCTCCTTCGGTTCCTTTCGCCCGAGATAGACAGTCCTCTTTCCCGTGACCGTGAACGATTTCGCCCCCGCCCCGGGGATCTCCCTGTGGCGTCGCAATGGTACGACCAGCGGCCATTGCTCCACTCCTCGTCAGCACGTCTTCCTCACTCTTCCCCTCTCCACAATGCAGCCGTCGACTTCGAGTCTACCTTTACTGCCTCGACCAAGTCGGCCGTTTTGACGCACAACACCCAGTCGGATCTCCTGCCCGGTGTCTATGAGGGCGGCTTCAAGTCCTGGGAGGCGTCCACCGATCTGACGATCTACCTTCAGGGCCTTCTCACGGATGGGCAGCTGACCATCGGCCCGAGCACGCGTGTCCTCGAGCTCGGCTGCGGGAGCGCCTTGCCTGGGATTTTCCTGCTGACTCGCGGTGCTGGGCTGGTGGACTTCCAGGACTATGTACGACATCCTCATCTCTCGCTCCTGCCCATTTCGGCATGCCCCTTCCCGCCGTCGGGTTCCATGCACTGCTGCTTTCCCTGGTCAAGTGTCTCCCCCCTCCCCTCCTCTCTCTCGCGCGCGCGCGCTCTCTCTCTCTCTCTCTTCCTTCGTTCACCTCGTTGATATGCAGATGAGCTAACTTCGATCATCACATTGCAGAACGCCGATGTCATCCACCAGGTTACCCTTGCCAATATTGCGCTGAATGTGGCCCGCCGGCCGGATACCCAGGCCCCCACCGAGCCGATCCAATTGCCGCTGTCGGTGCTGGAAGGCTTGCCCTCGCGCTTTTTCACCGGCGACTGGGCTTCCCTGAGCTCGCTGCTGGTCGATTCCCAGGGGGCCACCCAGGAGTATGATCTTCTGCTCCTGTCGGAGACCATCTACTCACTGGCCAACTATCAGAAGCAGATTCAGCTCATCTGGACTCACCTTAGCCGCGGAAACCCGAATGCCTGCGCGCTGGTCGCCGCCAAGAACCACTACTTTGGTGTTGGCGGCAACATGATGGATTTCGAGCAGGCGCTCACGGCCTTCCGCCCGGCTGCCGACGGCCCGGCTGATGGCGGCCCGGTGTTCAATGTTTCCACGGTGTGGAACAGCTCCGACTCCAGCGTGCCGCGTTCCATCCTAAAGGTCTCCCTCCGGCGCTAGGGGGGGGGGGGGCCCGTTCTGTGCTTTTTATCGCCCCTCCCCCTCTGTGTCCTTCGCTCCCCAGATGATTGTGCACTCTCGCGAACCGCTCGATTCTCCCGTCGCGCGCGTGTGCTCTCTCACCTGGTCTCTGTTCGCCAGGACCCCTGGTGAACGCTGGAGGCCACGGGGAGCGCGCATGCCCCTTCCTCGGTCACACCGCCGCCAGATGACTCGGAAACAATACACGCCCCTTATAGAGAAAAAACGCATGCCCAAACACAGCGGCACTTGTATGTGTGTCTTCGCCAACAGCGCCCACACGGAGCCACACACACACACACACGCGCGCATCCCCCTGCTCGAAGATGTGTGATCCGCACCAGCAACCCGAAGAAACGCCGCCCTCCGGCTGATACGCCACAGTCGGGGCCTGATCGAGGCCGAGGGATCCGTTGGCAGTCGGCCTGCTGCGGTTGCCTGCCTCGGGCATGGTCCTCAAAAGGGCGTCCTCTCCTTTCGGAGGCCCGACGCTTGGGGGACCATACAGCGCCCCCTCCCCAGCTCCCCCTCCTCCTCTTTCTCCTTCTTGCGTTCTTCTCTTTCCCTGCCATTCGAGGATGAGCGCCCAGGCTCGCCTGCCGAATACGGGATCCGGGTACCCCGGGGCCTTGACCACAGCCGCGAGCAGCATTCTCTCATCGCGTATGTTTCAGATCCACTTCCCCCTCCCCCCCCTCCCCCCCCCCCCCCCTGTCCCTAACATCTGGAGGTCTCGGTCATCTCCCCGCCCCCCCCCTCCCCCCCTGCTCTCTCCCGTCTTACGCAGAGGCACGCCAGCTGCTTGTGGTGGTCTTCGACTTGAATGCCTCGGCCTGGTCGAACTTCCTCGGCGAGGCGAACGTGGCCACCGCCTTCCCCCGGATCTTGGACCAGTTCGCGGTCTTCTTCAACATCCATCTGTCCCTTCGTCGGTCCAGCGAGCTGGCCCTGATCGTGTGTCATCGCGGCGGAGCTCGGTTTGTTTATCCGCCGCCGAAGTATGGTGACGCTTCGCGCGCCGGACATCCCCCGGGTGCCGGGGAATCTCACGATGAGGTATGCGATCGCTTGCATTTGATATCCATCCCCCCTCCCTTCGGCCGATATCAACTCACGCATCTGCACATGGCAACGGCGTTAGATTGATGGCCGGTATGAAAAACTCGCCACAGCCCAGAAGGAACTTGTTGCTCAGATCAACGAGTTGGCCAGCGAAATCATGGCCTCCCAGGCGGCAGGCTCGGCGTCGGTCCATCAGGCGGATGACATCGAGGGTGCGTTTTCCCCACCTGCCACGTTCAAAGGCATACGCTAAGTCTTCCCAAAAGTGGTCTTTTGCCTGGTTCCTCTCTCCCTCTCTCTCTCTCTCTCTGTCTCTCTCCCCCCGTCCCCTCCCTTGCTTCACTCACCAATCCCCTTCTTGTCTTTGTGCCAGTCACCAAGATGGCAGCCGCCCTGTCAAGTGCACTCTGCTGTATGTTTTCTCCGAAGTTTCCCTGCCTCCTTCTCTCTCTCTCTCTCTCTCTCTTTCTCTCCCTCGCAATATCCCTCCCCCCTGATGATCTTCTCACCTCCTGACGCGATGGATGCCACCCTGTGCAGATATCAACCGCTTCAACAGGGAAAACTATGATCCGCTGCTGCCACAGCCCCGGTCGCGTATCCTTATCGTGACAGCCGCTGCCGGAGCTGCTTCCGCCACCCGGGCGCACTATATCCCGATGATGAACTGCCTGGCCAGTGCGCAAAAAGCCGGCGCCTGTGTGGACGTGTGCGTTCTCGGGGCGGCTCCCTCGAGCGCCAACCAGGCCGCCCAGACCTCCGAGGATGGGGACACCTTCCTCCGGCAGCTGGCCGTCATGACGCGCGGAATATATTGGCGTGTGACCGATTCCAGCTCCGTCCTTCAGCATCTGATGGTGCGCGGCCCATTCGTGCTGGCCCCTGGCCCTACTCCCCGTTCGCTGCTTCCCATCCTGACGGCCGATGTATTGTGTCTGCCTTGCCCTGCTCCCGCCGTCTGGGCCATCTGCGCTGGATAGTGTCACTTTACCGCAGACGCCGATGCCCGTCAGCACCTGCCGCCACCGTCGCACTCCCAGGCAGCTGTGGACTTCCGAGCCACCTGCTTCTGTCACCGTAAGCAGTTGGACATTGGCTTCATCTGCGCTGTCTGCCTGTCCGGTGCGTTTGGTAGCCCCCTTGGCCTGGTGCCTTGCCCTTGCTCTGCTGACTGACACCTGTCCACCGGCCACCGTCTTGCTTTTGGCCCTCGATAGTCTATTGCAATGATTCCCTCGATATGTGTAGTACTTGCAGGTATCGCCGAACCTTCCTCCGCCCCTTCTTTGCTCCCTTTCCGACTGCTCTCCTTGAGACTGATCCCCCCCCCCCCCCCCGGTCTCCGGTGCAATTGACCTCCCCCATGCAGCACGCCCTTCTCCGTGGCCGGGTCGCTTCGGCCGGCGCCTGCTTCCTGATCGCGCGTGTGCCCCGTGCGCTTTCCCATGTCAAACAAAATAGACCACGCTGCTCTGGAGCAAGCGGCGGAAAAGATGGCCAAAAAGCACGGCATCGGGGCCTTTGCAGAGGGGCGTCCCATTGTGCATTCAAGTGCATATGTATGTATATTTGTTGGTGAGCAGGGGATGCTTGTAAAAGCCAGCAGACCGGCAAATGGGATCCAAGGCCTATATGTGTTGGAGAGCTTGCCTCCTGTGGCATGTGTGTGTGCGTGTGCGTGTGCGTGTGTGCCAACGATCGAAATGGTGCAACACAATCTAAGTTCAAAGCGTGAGGGTATCTTGCTCCATCTTGAGCTGCTCCTGCCAGAGGCGGCTGTACTCGCCCCCCTCAATGGCCAGCAGAGACTCATGGGTGCCGCGCTCAACAATTTGGCCCTGCAGAATGACGGTCAATAAGAGGAACAGACATAGACAAGGAGAGGTCCCCTTG